TATCATCCTCCTCTTCCTCCTCCTCCACCTCCTCCTCCTGATCATCATCACTATCACCATCACCATCAGCATCACTATCACCATCACCATCAGCATGACCATCATCATCATCATCATCATCATCATCATCATCATCATCATCATCATCATCATCATCATCATCAGCATAAGGATCATCATCATCATCATCATCATCATCATCATCATCATCATCATCGTCGTAATGATATTCATCATCATCATCATCATCATCATCATCATCATCATCATCATCATCATCATCATCGTCGTCATCGTCATCGTCATCGTCATCGTCATCGTCACATCGTCATCGTTATCGTTATCGTTATCGTCATCGTCATCGTCATCGTCATCGTCACCATCCTAATCATCATCATCATCATCATCATCATCATCATCATCATCATCATTATCATCATCATCTCATCATCATCATCATCATCGTCGTCGTCGTCGTCGTCATCATCACCATCAATCACCATCAACATCACCATCACCATCATCGCCTCTACCATCATCACCATCACCAACCTCATAATTCCGGCTCATCCTCGTCATCATCAAAGTCCTCCTCCTCCTCCTCCTCCTCACCATCGCGGACTGCAGCCACCTGACGGTGGCTGCACGCCCCCGGCTGCGGCTCCGTGGTGCAGCCCTTCGTGGACCTCCGATCCAATCCGGTGCTCCTCGCCATCGTCCTCATCGTTTTCCTTACCGCCTGGCCGCTCCGCCTCTCCCGACTCAAAATCCCGCATGTCTTCTTCGCGCACGAAATGCGGGTGGGTCGCCGCGGGCACCGGCCGGCAGGATGGGCTGAAAACCTGAATCCCCGTGACTCTGCCAGCTAGACCAGCACAGCCGAAGACCGACCCAAACCGACAGCGAAGCTGGCCGAATGCGGCCGACCAAACTGAACCCCAGACGACCTCGACTCAGCGGGGCCTAAATGGTCCACACGTATGCGGGGTCGGTTGGATCACCCACTGGCCAGCCACGAGGATCTTCTGCCTTCGCCACCAGGGGCGCCGCTGGCCTCAAATCCGGCATCGCCTGCGGCCCCCGCGCGAGCTCTGCGCTTTGCCGGCTGACACAGCCCGGCCTAACGGTCCGCACGAGCGCGGGGTCGACCAAACCACACACTGGCCGCTCAACTGTTGCGCTACCAGCCTCGGGTCTGGTGCCAACTGCGCCCCCCGCACGGGGGCCGCGGTGACACAGACTCCGCTCTCGACTCATCATCATCATCATCATCATCATCATCATCATCATCATCATCATCATCATCATCATCATCATCACCACCACCATCACCATCACCACCGTCACCATCATCGTCATCGCCATCATCATCTTCTTCATCATCATCATCATCATCATCATCATCGTCTTCATCACCATCATCATCCTAATCATCATGGTCATCATCATTATGATCATCAACAAACCATGTAAACGTCACCATCACAATCACCAGCCTTAACATCAGTATCACCATCACCAGGACCAGCATGATCATCATCCTCATCATATGCATCATCATCATCATCATCATCATCATCATCATCATCACCACACCATAACACATCACCAACACCATCACTATCACCATCATTACCATCATCAGATCATGTTCTATCGTGTCACATCACATCGCATCATCATCATAATCATCATCAGGATCATCACCATCACCATCACCATCACCATCACAATCACCATCATCGCTTCTACCATCATCGCCGTCACCAACCTCATAACTCCAGCTCATCCTCGTGATCATCAAATTCCTCCTCCTCACCATCGCGGACTGCAGCTACCTGACGTTGGCTGCACGCCCCTGGCTACCTGACGGTGGATGACATCAGCACAGCACCATCCTCATCAAAATATATCAAATCACATCAAGTCCTATCGTATGATATGGTTTCATATCATAGTATACAATATCCTGCCACCATAACCATCAATCATCACCATCGCCATCCCTACCACCAACAGCATCGTCAACACCATTACCAGCATCATCATCATCACAACACCCCCTGAACCACCACCACAACCACCACCAGCATCGTCATGATCACCATCACCATCAACATCACCACCACGTCCATCATCATCCTCAGCAGCAGCAGCATCAGCAGCATCATCATCCTCATCATCATCATCAGCAGCAGCATCAACATCATCATTATCATCATCATCATCTTCACCATGGGTACAATTATCATGATCGTCGTCGTCATCATCATCACCACCACAACCACCGCCATAATCATCACCAGCAGCAGCATCATCATCATCAGCATCAGCATCAGCATCATCATCACCAGGACCATCATCATAATCATCAGCCTCATCTTCATCGCCCCCATCATCATCAAACAACGAAGTACCACCATCACCATCAGCATCACCATCATCACCGTCATCATCATATCATATGGCATATCGTGTCACATCACATCGCACCATACCACATTACCACATCACCATCATCATCAAAATCTACCACCTCACATCGCATCATATCGCAGCCTATCGTGCTGTCATTTCATAGCATGCCACCATCAGCATGGCCATCAACCATCGCCATCGCCATCACCATCGTCGCCATCACCATCACCAGCATCATCATCACCATCATCATCACCACCACCACCTGAACTAACACCACAACCACCATCACCATCAGCAGCATCAGCATCATCATCAACATCATCATCATCACCATCACCACACCCACCACCATCAGCAGCAGCAGCATCAGCATCATCATCATCATCAGCCGTAGCATGAACATCACCATCCTCATCATAAACATCGTCATCATCAGCAGCATCATCAATATCAGCATGCTCACCATGACCATCATCATCATCCTTGTCGTCGTCATCATCATCAGCACTGCCACCACCACCACCACCACCATCAGCATCATCAGCACCATCAGCAACATCAGCATCAGCATCAGCATCAGCATCATCGTCATCATCATCAGCATCAGCGTCGCCATCATCACACCATGAAATATTACCATCAACCTCACCATCACCATCATCACCGTCACCATCATATCGTGTTATATCGTGCCACATCACATCGCATATCACATCATCACATCGTCATCATCGAAAAAAACATATCGTGTCATATCGTATCGTATCGTATCATGCCATATCATATCACATCATGCCACCGTCAACATCACCATCAACCATCACGATCGTCATCACTATCACCATCATCATCGCAATCACCATCATCAACATCATTAATATCGTCGCCACCACCACCACCACCACCTGAATCACCACCACCACCAGCATCATCATCACCATCACCATCACGATCACCATCATCATAACCATGTTCATCATCATTAGCATCAGAAGCAGCAGCATCAGCATCATCATCAGCAGCATCATCATCGTAAAGATCAGCATCATCATCATCACCATCAACATCATCATGTAGACCAGGACCATCATCCTCATCGTCGTCGTCATAATAATCACCACCATCACCATCTCCATCATCATCATCATCATCATCAGCAGCAGCATCAGCATCAGTATCAGCATCATCACCATCACCATCAGGAGCATCAACATCAGCACTTCACCATACCATATCACCATCACCATAACCATTATCACAGGCGTCATCATATCATGTTAATCGTGTCACATCACATTGAGCGAAATCACAGCATCACCAGACCGTATCACATCACATGACATCGTATCAGATCACACCATGTCATATCATATCATACCACCAGCACCATCACAATCAACCATCACCAAGGCCATCACCAACACCATCATCATCGCCATCACCATCACCATCATCATCATCACCACCACTACCACCTAAACCACCACCACGACCAGCATCATCATCATCATCATCATCATCATCATCATCATCATCATCATCATCACAATCACCATCGCCAGCACCATCACCATCACCATCATCATCATAAGTCATTATCAGCAGCAGTATCAGTATCATCATCAGCAGCATCATCAAAATCATCATCAGCATCATCATCATCACCATCATCATCCTACTCGTCATAACATCAGCATCATCATCCTCATCCTCGTCATCATCATGAGCATCATAATCTTCACCATGACTACAATCATGACCAATGCCACGGTCATCATCAGTATCCCCACCACCACCACCACCATCATCATCATCGGCAGCATCAGCATCAACATTAGCATCATCATCATCATCATCATCATCATCATCATCATCATCATCATCATCATCATCGTCGTCAGCATCACAACCATGATCGTCGTCATCACCATCACACCATAACATATCACCACCACCATCAGCATCATCACCAACGTCACCGTCATTATTATATCGTGTCATATCGTTTCACGTCACATCGCATCATAACACATCATCACATCACCGTCACCATCAAGCTATACCACATTACAGATCATCAACATATCGTATCATACCGTATCATGCTATATCAGACCATATCATGCCAACCACCTTCACTATCACCATCAACCATCACCATCGTCATCACCATCACCATCATCATCATCATCATCATCATCGCCATCACGTGACCATCACCAACATCATCATCATCATCATCATCATCATCATCATCACCACCACCATCACCACCAACGCCACATGAACCACCACCACCACCACCAGCAGCGTCATCATCACCATCACCATTACCACTACCATCATCATGATCATCATCATCATCATCATCAGCATCAGCATCATCACAATCAGCAGCAACAGCATGGGCATCAGCAGCAGCATCAGCATCAACATCATCATCATCCTAAACATCATCATCATCATCCTCATCATCATCATCATCATCATCATCATCATCATCATCATCATCATCATCATCATCATCATCATCATCATCATCGTCATCGTCATCGTCATCGCCGAGCGGTGGCGGCGTCCTGGCCCAGCCGGGCGGGGCGCGTGGGCGGCGGCGCGCCCGTTGAGGCAAGGCGCTACCGCGCGGCAGGCCTGGAGGGCTCCAGGCTGAGGCCGAAGGCTCGGACCCTCGATCCGCCTCGATCCTTCTCGGATCCTCCGTCGTCCTCCATCATCCTCGATCCTTGGCCATCCTCGATCCTCGATCCTCCTCCATCCTACCCCCTCCGTCCTCCTCTGGGCCACTGGGCGAGGGCTCTGGACCACTGGGCTGAGGCCCAAGGCTCGGGCTCGGGAGTCGGGCGCCGCCTGACCGATCCCCAGCCAACCCATCCCCTTCCGTGACGTCATCCTCGTCAATCGAGCTCCCCGGCGGCCGCATACATACGTCTTGGGGCGAGGCGAGGGTGACGTCACGGAAGGGGATGGCTTGCTAGGGGTCGAATAGGCCGCCCCGGACGGAGACGTCGAGGCGGCCTCAAGAAGCTGGTTTCGGACCTCGGGACCGCCGAGGAAGGGCTCAGCACAGAAAACCGGCCTGCCGAAATGGAATGGGCCACTGGAGTGGGTCACCATGTGAACACAGCCACTCAGGCTTTCGGTGGAGCTCCCTATGTGATCACGATACGTGGGAGGATCTGCCGATATGTTGCGGGTCGTCACGTGAACCCAGCCACTGAGGCCTTCGCTGGAGCTCCGTGAATTGGGCGCCTGACCATGCCAACCCAGCCACTGGGGGCCTCCAGTGGAGCCACGAGACGTGTCATGGTATGCCGGGATTGAGCGGGTCACAGAAGGGGGGAAACAAGAACAACAAAAAAACGGAAGAATCAAAAAAAATCCTGGCGAAGGACCCAACCATATGCAGTTGTGAGTAACCCAGTTGCTGGTATTGTCTCCGGTGGAGCTCCCTTTGGGGCCACGAAGCGTGTGAGGGGTGTGCCGAAATTGGTGCGGTGGTGTCATGCGAGCGCAGCCACTGGGGCCTTCGGTGAAGCTCCCCATTGGGCCACGAAACGTGTGAGGGGTGTGCCGAAATGGGCGCGGTGGTGTGATGCGAGCGCAGCCACTGGGGCCTTCGGTGGAGCTCCCTATGGCGCCACGAAACGTGTAAGGGGTGTGCCGCAAGTACCCTGTGACGTACCCAACCCTTTCTATACATGTGGCGATTATACTCAGGACCATTCAATGCTGACTGGCATTCTAAAGGAACCGCAGTGCGCAAGAAGAACACCCAGCAGTGATTTCAGAAGAGCGTAGCAAGAAGAGGAACTGCAAATCGCAAGCCCCCCAGGAGCGGCGAAATCCCGAGGTGGTCCGCGTATGCCGTACCTCCGCTGGGCCTCCCAGGAGCCCACGAAAGTGCCGACAATTTCGCAGATCGCAGGCCCCCAGGGGGCGGCGAGGTCCCGAGGTGGTCCGCGTGGGACGTACCTCCGCTGGGCCTCCCAGGAGCCCACGAAAGTGCTGACAATTATGCAGATCGCAGCCCCCCCAGGGCACCGCGAGCTAAGTGGTGGTCAGCGTATGACGTACCTCCGCTCGGCCTCCCAGGAGCCCACGAAAGTGCTGACAGTTGCGCAGATCGCAGCCCCCACAGGGCACCGCGAGCTATAGTGGTGGTCCGCGTATGCCGTACCTCCGCTGGGCCTCCCAGGAGCCCACGAAAGTGCCGACAATTTCGCAGATCGCAGGCCCACCCAGGGCACCGCGAGCTATAGTGGTGGTCCGCGTATGACATACCTCCGCTGGGCCTCCCAGGAGCCCACGAAAGTGCTGACAGTTGCGCAGATCGCAGCCCCCACAGGGCACCGCGAGCTATAGTGGTGGTCCACGTATGACGTACCTCCGCTGGACCTCCTAGGAGCCCACGAAAGTGCCGACAGTTTCGCAGATCGCAGCCACCCAGGGCACAGCGAGCTATAGTGGTGGTCCGCGTGGGACGTACCTCTGCTGGGCCTCCCAGGAGCCCACGAAAGTGGCGACGGTTGCGCAGATCGAAGCCCGACGGCACGAGAGAAGAGGAGCGGGGAACACAGGAAACAGGAGAGAAGGAGGAGGGGAGGAGAGGGGAGGAGGAAGGAGGAAGGACGGGGTGACCACACTGCTCTATTCAAAACGAGAACCCAACACAGGAGGGTTGAGAATAAATACGGTGGTGTCATGCGAGCGCAGCCACTGGAGCCTCCGGTGGAGCTCCCCATGGGGTCACGAAACGTGTGAAGGGTGTGCCAAAACAGGTGCGGTGGTGTCATGCGAGCGCAGCCACTGGGGCCTTCGGTGGAGCTCCCCATTGGGCCACGAAACGTGTGAGAGGTGTGCCAACATGGGAGCGGTGGTGTCATGCGAGCGCAGCCACCGGGGCCTTCGGTGGAGCTCCCCATTGGGCCACGAAACGTGCGAAGGGTGTGCCGACATGGGAGCGGTGGTGTTATGCGAGCGCAGCCACTGGGGCCTTCGGTGGAGTTCCCTATGGCGCGACGAAACGTGTGAGGGGTGTGCCGAAATGGGTGGTGTCACGCGAGCACAGCCACTGGAGCCTTCGGTGGAGCTCCCCATGGGGTCACGAAACATGTGAAGGGTTTGTCGAAACAGGTGCGGCGGTGTCATGCGAGCGCAGCCACTGGGGCCTTCGGTGGAGCTCCCCATTGGGCCACGAAACGTGTGAGAGGTGTGCCGACATGGGAGCGGTGGTGTCATGCGAGCGCAGCCACCGGGGCCTTCGGTGGAGCTCCCCATTGGGCCACGAAACGTGCGAGGGGTGTGCCGACATGGGAGCGGTGGTGTTATGCGAGCGCAGCCACTGGGGCCTTCGGTGGAGTTCCCTATGGCGCGACGAAACGCTGTACTATGCGGGGGAAACGCAGGGAGGAGGGAGGCGGGGGAGGAGGGGGAGGAGAGAAGAGGAGAGGAGCAATGCGGGGACCGTCTTTTCAAAACGAAGACCCAACACCACAGGGTGATTGGGAAAGAACAATCATCCGGGTCCTCCCTCACCACCAATCATCGTAAGTATCAGATCCTCCTCGTCCTACGTATCCTCTCCACGTTCTCAATATCTCCCTGTTCCCCAAGCCCCCCGACCCGCCCCCCAAAAAAAACCTCGAAACCTCAGGAACCTTTCGAAACGCCGAAAAACGCTTCATTTGTATGCCTTCATTCTACTCGACCTACTCGTTCTCCATGAAAACCCGAGGACAACTCCACCTCCTCCTCCTCCTCCTCCTCCTCCTCCTCCTCCTCCTCCTCCTCCTCCTCCTCTTCCTCCTCCTCCTCCTCCTCCTCCTCCTCCTCTTCCTCCTGCTCCTCCTCCTCCTCCTCCTCCTCCTCCTCCGCCTCATCAACCTCCCTCTTACCCCCTGGTCCCCAGAACTTCCCGAAGCCCGAACTGCAACACCCTTCACCTTCCCCCGCCCTCTGAACCCTAAAGCATCAAGGACAACCACCCCACTAAAAATGTGGCCCATCCTCTCTCCTGTGACGCCCAAAGCACCCAGGCCAACGGCCACATCCGCCACCGTGCCTCTGGGCACGGAGTGGGCGGGTCCTCAGGTCCTTTGCCCAATCCCCTGAGCCTCAGTCCTCAGTCCTGAGGGGTCTCTGAGGGGCCCCGGAGCCCAAATTCTCAACTCTCCCAGGGCCTTGCCGCGCGGCTACTGGGCCTTGGGAAGCGGTGGCGCGCGACTTGTTGGGGCCCACGAAGGCCCCAAGACGGGCCACGAGGGCCCCAAGAGGCACCGAAGACAGTCCAAGATCGCCCCGACTTGCCAAACGATCGCTCCAATACGCTCAAGGCGGCCCCAAGACGGCCCGAGAGGCCCCTAAGACGCCCCAAGGGGCCCCCAAGAGGCCTCCCAAAGAGGCCCCAGAAGGCAAAAACCATTGATCTCCCTTGGATGTTTGAAGGTTTTTGGCTGTCTCGCCTTTTCGGCTTCCCGACGCTCCAAGACAACCCAAGAGGCTCCCAAGACCGCCCCAAGACGGCCAAAGAGGCCTCGAAGAAGCCCCAAAACTGCCCAAGAGGGCCCCGAGACGGCCCAAGAGGCGCCCAAGACTGTCCAAGAGGACCCCAACATGGCCCTGAGAAAAGCAACTGTCGGAAATGAGAGGTCGCGGACCTTTTTCCACTGCGCGCACACTTGACCCAAGCCGGCTATGGAACATGCACACTCTCTCAAGGCAAAACGATGTGGCCAACCACTGCATTCCCCGAGACGAGAAACAGAGATTCACAGCCCCCTAAAAAGTGTTTGGCCACAGAGGCTTCTACAGAACAGTACACGAGCTCGAAACTCGAGAGAAACAAGTTAAATATGGAATATGGAAGATCACCTCATGGTTCTCTCAGAGGTAACTGCACAGCCTACTGATTGCCTGTCTAGCTGCTCCCGCTTGTGTGGTCGCGAAACGAAACCCTTCTTGGCTTTCTCCGCCACACGCTTCTGCAGCTCTCCTTGTTCGTCGAAAATTCTATACAAACCAGAACGCATCAGCCTAGTGAGAACTACAGCATTAGGAGCCCGCTTCGTGAACGCATCTGCCGGCACACAGTGATGCTGAACCCATCTGGCTCGGCACCCAACTGCACGCATGGATTGCCTACAAACACACAGCTCTAGAGCAACACGCCTATCGTTACCGCCAGTGGTCTCCTTGACTAAATTATCAAACAGGGATTTGGCATCTACAACGCTCACAACACTAGGATCGATTGAAATCGTGCTGTCACTCTTTAGAACTGCCACCGTAGGATCCCCTCGCTCAGGTTGTGTCGATCGTCGGCGTGTTTTCGGATCAAAATCGCTCCAAATGGTCTCCTGCCACAATGCCCAGATCCACTCCGCCTCTGCTAAAGCATCACTGAAACTGAAACTCTCGGCTGCCATCGCACTCCCAACAACTCGCTTGATCTTGTGACTGACCCAACTCATAGTGCTGAATGGGGCCTCCTCGTTGTTGTTGAGGGCCGTAGTAGAAATACCCACAATGAAGCCTCCTTGCGAAGCTCCGGTCGCCTTGTCTGCGTCGAAACTCCCGTCGCTAACACTCGCAACTCTGGCCTCGTCGATATCGCACGGCATGATACGAAGTCCAAGAAGTGGATCTGCCTTCAGTCGCCGAACTGAGGCGCTGGCATCAGCAAGATCCTTCATGACTGCTTCGTGGAACGAACTCTGCAACAGGGACGCAGTCGATGCTTCATCGGGTCGAGCTTGTCTCGCTACCCAGCCGACACCGCCAATGACTGTACGGAGCTGGCTCTTCTCGCCTTCAGTGGGCTCCGCCTTCGGGTCGGACAAGCGGCCGCGCTTCAACTCGATGGGATTCAGCTTCTCGCGGATGTAGCGCTCCATGTCGATGCGGAAACCGAAGTCCTTTTCCTGTGTAAACCGGCGCCCAGCAAAAGAATGTGGCCCGTCTTGATAGAGACTATGCCAATGCCCAAACTTGACCATGGTCCTCAGCTGCTTCATCTTGTTGTTGTGTAAATCCGTTCCTCCAGATAGTGTGTCATCAACCTCAAGAACAACGATGCCCTGGACAATCGGATCCTTGGACTTGTCGCGCGGGTCGTTGTTGAAAAGACAGAAGAGGCACGGGTCGTAGATGCTCATGCGATAATTCAGCTTGCTGAGGTGATCAACCATGGTGCTCCTCCACGCTGCCATGCCGCTCACGAGCCCGTAGACCTCGCGGTCGAGCCTGATGAGGCAACCGGCTGGCACGCCAAGGGACTCCAAGTATCCTCCAGCCGGCGGCTCCGCGTAGAGTGGCTTGGTCCTCTTGCTCGGGTCCCCCTGCATGAACGCCGTAGTTACGTCACCCACGGTCGCCTCGAACTTGCGGCTCGCCATCGCCTGCAATGCGATGTGAATAGTCACAAGCTGTGGCGTAGGGCAACTCCTCTCGATCTCCATGATGTCGGGATCCTTGAAGCCGTGAACGACCCACCGGGCTTTCGCCATGACGCCCTGCTCGGTAGGCTTCCAGCGGAGGAGGATGCGGCTGGTGATGATCCGCTCGCCCTTCTCCTTCCTGATGCGGGCGGCGTCCTCAGGCATGATGATGGTCACCGCCTTGATGCCTACCACCGCGTTCCACTCCTTCGCGATCGCGGCGATGAACTGCGGCCAGTCGTCCTCGCTGATGGTGTGGTGCTTGAGCTCCGCCGCCTCGGACTTCGCCTTCATGATGTAGAAGCTGCCCCGGTGGCTAAGGCAGGCCCAGCTATCCTCAATGCTGAAGGCGGCGTGCTTGTCGTTGTCGAAGCCAGTGGCCGGCCTCCAAGTACCACTCTCCTGCTTACGGTAGCGCCACACCTCGTCCATGGCGATCTGGTCGCTGCTCTCTGCCTCGGTGTAGTTCGTGAAGGTGCCGTCCGTAAAGCTGCAGATCTCCACGAAGCGTTTCTGGTCGTTTGGCTGCTCCCAGTACGTCCCGGGGTCGGTATACAATCCGCTCGGCGCCGGCCACGGCGCTCTCGTTCCAGACGGTGTCCTGCCAGCCAGTCGGAGCCGGTCCGCCTCCATGTCGTCGAACCTCGGTCGCGATCGTGGTGGTGTTCCGGGTCCTTCGCCTTCCGCTCTCGTGACCGTTCCCCGCCTCGATCCATCGTCTGATTCCGAAGCAGATGTGGCTGGTGCGAGCGGTTCGCTTTCTGGCTGGGCGCTGGTGCGCCTGGACAATCCAGGGTCCACGACTTCAGGAGGAACAGGTTCAGCAGGAGGTTGTTGAGATGGATCCGCATCAACAAGTTCTTCAAGGTCAGGTGGCTCACCCTCGCCGGTGATGTCCCTGAAGCCCCGCTGAGTGTGCACCGCGTTGAGCTTTTCCTTTAGGTCGAAAAGGAGCTCGTTAACGATCTCGGCGCCCATGCTCTCCTCGTTTGTCGCTGATCGTACCTGGATCCTGCCACATTTGAAAAGGACACCGCGCAAATAAGCAAATAGCGTACTCCCGTTCTGGGTGGTAGAAATGACCGTCGCTGGTCCACTCCAGCCCACCTTGTAGTCAATGCCCCCATCAGGCTGTCGAACTGAAACTCGCCTCCAAATGAACACGATCTCGCCATCCTTCAACTCCTCTTGGCCCTTGCGCATGCGGCTCTTGAGTGCCTTCTCGAACGTCTGCTGGTCGCTCAAGGAGACGGTCGCCTGCATGGCGGCCTGCCTGATGGACTGGGTCCTCTGGTACTCGGCCGAGGGCGTCGTGTTAAGCATCTCGGGGCTGATGATGTCATCGCTGAAGAGGCAACCTGGCAGGCGGATGTCCTCGCCGAAGACCCGCTGCGCCGGGCTGTAGCCGCTGCGGTTGGTGAAGCGGATCTTGGCCTGGCTGACGAAGGCTGCGAACATGTCCACCTCGTCCATGTTGTAGCACGGCTCGATGGACTCGGCCTTCTGGAAGATGCTCTTCCACCAGCCGCCGTGCCTCTCCGTCTTGCCATTTTCCCAAGGGCTCCTCAAGTTGATGACGTGTACGAGTGCAGCGTACTCTCGAGCCCGGTCCTGAAACTCTGCCTTGAACTCGGTGCCCTGATCCACCACAAGTATCTGAGGTGGCCCGTAGTGTCGATGCCAGCACCGCTGCACTGCTTCCCACGTCGCCTGTGCCGTCATGGAGCTGCTGATCCGCTCCACGATCTGGTAATTCGTACCCCAGCAGATGACGTGGACAAACGTGAACTCTAAACCCAAGGCGGTCTTGACCGTGAACGTGTCGCAGCCCACGACGTAGTTGAAACGAAAAGAACGTAACACTGCCGAAGGCTGTCGAGCTCGAGGTCGCTTGTTCGACTCGCACGCTGGGCACTTGAAGTTCTTTCTTACCCAGCGCAGGATGGAATTTCTGACACGACCATTTCGCAATACACGAATGGAATCCCGTAGCTCAGGATGTCCCATGTTGTTGTGGGCCCGCTGAATGAGTCGTTGTTGTAGTGGTGAAGGCGTCTCGCTCTCGTCTGTGGGCGGCGCCTCCTCAACGTCCTGGAACTCCTGCGTCGGCTCCCCGAAGTCTGGCCCGATCTCTCCAGGTTCACCGTCAAGAAATGCATCCTCGTCGTCCTCGGGAACCGCAGGGAGGTCGTTGACAAAGACCCCTAACTCGATCTGGTCCTCGGCGATGGCCTGGAAGAAGTCGCCCACGACAGCCGAAACGTGCTCGGTAGCCATGGTCTCCGTGGCGTTTGAGAACTGATAGTAGGTCGGCTGCGTGCACAAGTCCATGTACTTCCCCTGTGGGTACTTCACCACGCCGGCCCGCTCGAGGTGCTTCACGAGGCCTCTGAGGATCGCGTTGCAAAACTGAGGGGTGTACTCCTGGGCCAGTCTCGTGAGCTTGCTGCCGACGAGCTGATCATGTTCAGAACTGTGATGCGTGCAGCGCCTGCACACCGCCCGCAAGACCTGCTCACTGTTGCTCAGGATGCCGGTCGGCTTGCGGTTGAGCTTGCCTCCGTCGACTTGCAGCTTGAACTCACATGTCCGTGTTGACCCACCCGATGCCGTCGGTGTCGGCCAACTCACGCACGCAAGGCTGATCCCACGAACGTGCGTACGCGGGCTGCTCGAAGAGGAAGAGACCCCCGCGTTCGTGTTGTTCCCACGCCAAGACAGCGCAGAACTCCAGATGGTCTAAGCCGACCCGCTCCTCCTGGCTAACCACGCTCATGTCGCGATTGTGGTTGGACAGGTTCCTGATGCGGCTCCAGACCTTGCACGGCGGGCCCAGGATGAGCAGGAGCGGCTTCTCCTTCTCGATGATCTCCCTCGCGCTATGCCGGTCAGCCTCCTTCGTGAAGTCGAAGCCAGTGACCAGGTCGAGCGCGCTCCCTGGACGCAGTCCGTGATGCTTGCAGTGCTGTGTGACTCGAGGGCGGCTGTAGACCTCGGTGACGTCGACTCCCGACTTCGCGAGCTTGGCGAGCTTCTTGCGCAAGTCCCGGCGCAAGCCTCGCGAGATCACGCACTGCTCCTCGTCATTGAACAGTACGCTGGTGATCGCGCCGATCTTCACCTTGAAAATGTCCACGTGGTGCGTCGTGCCGTCGGTTCGGTCCTCTGCGATGTACTGGTAGCCCTTCGCATGCTTGTCCAGGTAGAAATTGCCTATCATCTCGCCAAAGAGGTCCTGATCGTCGTAGTTCGTCTCGTGCCCGATGGCTATGACCACAACGGCTACCTCCGTGCTGCGCCGATCGCCAAGTCGGCCAAAGAAAAGAGATCCACCAGCTACAAGTCCTCGTCGCTGCTGGAGTTGAGCGTGATGACGCCCTTGATCTTCTCGAAGCCCTCCTCGGTGATCTCCAGCGTCTGGTCGCAGCCCTTCACCATGCACACGTAGATCCACTTGCTGGTCAGCCGGTCGTAGGCCTTTAGCATCTTGTGGTCCGTGTGGACGGGGCAGGCCGGTGCCAGCTTCTTGGTCTTCTCCTCCTTCACCGCTGCAGTCGAAGGTGGTGGGCATGATGGTGGCTTGACCGTCGTCTTGCTGCTCGAGCTGCCTGAGTAGGTCGGAATCCTCTCCCACCTCGCCCCATACTTCGTGCAGAGCTCGTACCATCCCGCTGGATTGCCTTCGGGTAGGAGTCGATCCTCTGGATGGTCGCAGTCCCCCGGCGCGCATACCCTTTTCAGGCTCTTGCGCTTGCTGTCCAACAGGCGCTTGCCTCTCGTGAAGGACGTCGGCTTCTGCTTGTCCAAACTGGGGCCAGCACCTTTCCGTTGCGCAGCTGAAAGTATAGCCGGAGCCTGGACACCAGCCAGAGACAAAATCCCGAGCACAAGGACTGGCAGAAGGCAGCCTCGGAGACGTAGATGACCTTGTGAATGATGCGCTTCCAGGCCTTCATCAGGAGCCGCTTGTGGTTCTTGGTCTTGGTGCGGTCCAGCACCGGGTCCGCTGCCTCCTGGATGGCCTGTCCCAGGAGATCTGACATCTGGCTCTGAAGGCTGGTTGGTTGCCGCCAACGGCGGCGAAGATATGGAAATCGTCGTTGCTGAAAGCTGGCCGGCATCAGCCGGATACTCGAGAACAGCTGGAAAGCTACGGAGGGCAGAAACTTCCTGGGGCACCTGTTTGCGTTCTGCGAGCGTGTCGTTTCTGTCGACCTCCTCCGGCACGAATTCCCAAGAGACTCTCTTATTTGCTTTGGGGCCCTCTGGGGATCTTCTCTTTGAGCATGTACTTGTTATCTCTGAAGTTCCCGATGTTTGCCTCTGGATTCCAAGACTTGTTATCTCTGAGGTTCCCGATGTTTGCATCTGGATTCCCGTACTTGTTATTTTCGACGTTCCTGGCGTTTGTACCTGCGAACCTAGGCTTGTCATTTTTGATGTTCCTGGCGTTTGTATATGAGAACCTGGCCTTGTCATCTTTGATGTTCCTGGCGCTTGCATCTCTGAAGCTGTTGAGACCGCTGTCGAGGCTGAAGGGGGTGACGATGGAGGCGACATCGGCGATGACGTCGGTGATGGCATCGGCGAGAGAGAAACATCAACCACTGCCAAAGAAGAAAGCCCATCGTTTCCAGTTCCAGGCTCGCACCATCCTCCGGGCGCGAACTCTATAATGCTGATCGCCGCGTGACCATTGTCACCGATAGTGCGAAGCCTTGTGCCTGCACCGAACTTGTGAAAATAAGCCTGGTCTCCTGAATCGCGCAGCTTCAGATCCATCTCCATGGCACGTGCGAGGCCGACAGGCAACAGTGCGGGAACTGGCTCGTCAAGGACTCGAAAGGATACGGCGCCGCTGACTCCTGCAATGCCTACCAGAACCTCCACGCGGCCGATGAGCTTCGCATCGCCTCCGATGCCCCGTGGCGCTGGGCCCTCGTCTGGAACCCACAGCGGCTGGAGGTTGAACTCCTCGAGCTTCTTGCTCAGTGCTCGCAACTGCTCCTTGCCGATGATGCCGTCCTGGGCGCCCGTGTCCACGAGCACCTCCCAAGCGTCCAGGGCCAGGCCGATGAACGCGGTGATCATGCCAATGAAGAACTGGACGGCGCCCTCAGCAGGGCGAGCTGGAACAAATTCGTCTACGTTGAATCGAGATCCGCCCGGACTCGTGTGCATTGCGAAAGCTCCGAGTGCCGGCCGTTGCTGATGTCCTTTCTGCGGGCACTCTCGCGCCCAATGACCGACCTGCTTGCACTTGGCGCACCTCGTGCGCATCTTGAGCTGGTCAATGGAGATCCGGCGCTTCTGGCCGAACTGCTTGCCCTTGCGGCCCTTACCGCCGGAGCTCGAGCCCTTCGTGAAACCCTTGCCGCCGCTGCCCTTCGGTTGGAAGAAGCCTCTGGCCTTCCGCGCCTCGCTGAGCTGGTTGCGAACCTTCTTGTACTCGGCAGGGTAGCTCATGGCCGGGCGCATGTCGAGCAGCACCCAGGGGAGACCCTCCTCCTCGATCACCCCGTCGAGCCACTCCGCATCTATGTAGTAGACGCCTTCGATCGGCTCCGCCCCTGGAACCTGCAGGACGCCCTCGTTCTCCTCGCAGCCGTCGTCCTCGAACCCGATCAGCTCAATCGCGAAGGGGCCGAGCTCGTCCGCAGTGTTCGTCAGGGCGTGGTCGATCGGAGGCGGCGGGAGGTGTACTGAATCATCTCCGTCTTGTCCGTACAGGGTCAGCGCGGCGAAACCTGAATTTGGACGTGGTAGTCCTGCGCGTCGGTCTGGACGGTCGAGCCTGATGAGGGCCTTCGCAATCTTCGAGAACTCGTAGGTGCCGTCCGTCCAGCCGATGACCTTGTCGTATGCTCTCTCGTCGAGCAGGGCGAAACGCAAAGTGGTGTACCCCTTCAACACGTCTGGAAGGTAGATCTTGAGCCGCTCGAGCGCTGTGAACTCGAGCCTTCTCCGATTGACGAAGGTCGTGAACCGTTCTTTCTTCTGATCCCTGACGCACGCGTAGAGCGCCTTCTCGAGAGCCTCTGGTATCTCTTCCTCTTGAAGGTACGCGAAAGCTGTGTCTAGACACTCCAAGATCTTGGCAACGGCGTCGCCGTCGTCCGATGTGAGCACGTCGTCCACTATCTCCTCGCACGCCAAACGGGCCTGCCCACGGAGATTCCTAAGCACGACGCCGCCCAGCTTCTTTGTCTCTATCGAAGTGTTGGCCTCCCAGATCTGGAGGTCTCGCCGACAATGTCGGTACAAGTACTCGTCCGTCGGCTCCGAGAAGGTCGGTGGCGGGTCTCGGTCTATTATGACGCCCATTCTGCTGCGGCCTCCGCCACCGTCTGCTCCAATATCATCATCGTCGTCAGGTTGTCCCCGGCCTCCGAGGGGTGTTCTGGCTGTCATTGCGGCCGAGTGAAAGCAGGATGGAGTGCGCAGCTATCCGTGGGGAGAACCACGGCTCCGCTGCCAACTGAGCAAAGCAACTGTCGGAAATGAGAGGTCGCGGACCTTTTTCCACTGCGCGCACACTTGACCCAAGCCGGCTATGGAACATGCACAATCTCTCAAGGCAAAACGATGTGGCCAACCACTGCATTCCCCGAGACAAGAAACAGAGATTCACAGCCCCAAGACGGGCCGAAGAGAGGGAACACGAACCAAAAATCCGAGCCTTCCGCCTCAAGAGATCCCCAGGAGGCCCCCAGAGGCGCCCAGGAGGCGCCCAGGAGGCCCCAAGAGGCCCCGAAGAGGCCCCCAAGAGGCCCCCCGAGAGGCTCTTGGGGGTCCCAAAGAGGCTCCAAAACAGCCCCCACGAGGCCCCAAAGCGGCCCCCTGGAGGCCTCCAAACTGCCTCGAGGCCTCCCAAGAGATCCCAACGGAAACCCGATAGGCTTCACACCCACAACCCAGGCACGGTGGCGGGATGGGCCGAAGGCAATTTGATACTACTTGACAGCAGCGGCTGGGCCACTTCGTCACAGGCGATGGCGTCAACGAAGCTCGGATCGAAACGATCCCAACATCAGCCCAAACGTCTGGCCTTGTGACTTGTTCACGACGTGGGCCCCCAGCGCTGACGATACCATCCCTGAGACCTGATCTTACAGCGGGTCGATGTTTGCAGGTCGTGGGGCCCACAGACTGTTCCCCGGTAACTCTGGTGCCGAGATCTTCAACCCCCCCCAGAAAAACACCCTGTTGCGACTGATTGCGCGACGCCTGGAGTCTTGGAGCATCCCTCCCTCTCTTTGGGTGACCCCAAAAGGGGGTCCAGCTGGAAGGGGGTGGTGCAATAGATTTTGGGCAATTGTATTGCAAATGTATTGCGCCGGAGAATTGAATTGCATTGTCTTACAGGTAATGCATTGCACGCGAAAGTCCAGCAATACATTTGCGCCCCGGGATGAATTGCACGCCCCACAAATGTACTGTAACGCCACAAATCTACTGCACCAAATATATTGCACCACCCCTTTTCAGCTGGACCCCTTCTGGGTCAACCCGAACCCCTGCCCCAGTCTGCGACGAGTGGGCGACTGGAGAGGTCCGTGTCAAGTCGGGCATGTCCCTCT